ACACACACACACACACACACACACACACACACACACACACACACACACAAATGAGAGAGAGATTATTAACAAAATACTAATTATTATATAATTCTCTACAAGTGGTGTGTAACTGAGACCATTTAAATTAATTACATTTTTTAGTGTGATTGCGTGCATGAGAGAAAGCAGGGATGTTCATGAAAGGTCAGAGGACAACTTTGAGGAGTCAGTTCTCTCCTGTGACCATGTGGGTCTCAGGGATTGAACTCAGATTTTCAGGCTTGTCAGCAAGTACCTTACCCTCTGAGCCTTCTTCAGGCCCTATGATGATTTAACAATATTTTGTCAGGATAATGATGGTGGAATGTGTTGAGAAACATATATACAAGTTAAAAAGCAGTGCACATTGAATCTTCATGCATTGTTTTGCTTGTTCAGACTGATGAACACGTGATACAGGTAGATGATCACAGATGTTCACGTGTGTCTTAGTTAGGGTTTCTATTGCTGTGAAGAGACACTATGACCACTGCAACTCTTATAAAAGAAAACATTTAATTGGGGCTGGCTTGCAGTTCAGTTCATTATCATCATGGTGGGACATGGTAGCATGTAGGCAGACATGGTGCTGGAAAAGTAGCTGAGAGTAGAGAAGGAGCTACATCCTGATCTGCAAGCAACAGGAAGTGATCTAAACTAGGCATAGCTTGAGCATAGGAGACCTCAAAGCCCTCCCCCACAGTGACACACTTCCTCCAACAAGGCCACACCTACTTCAACAAGGCCACACCTAATGGTGCCATTCCCTATGAGCTTATGGGGCCAATTACATTCAAACTACCACAATGTGATACAGGTAAATGAACACAGGTATTCATGTGATACAGTAAACGCACATAGATATTCATGTGACAGAGGTAAATGAACACAGATGTTCATGTGATACAGGTAAGTGAATGTAGAAGTTTATGTGGTGTAAGGCTACGTTGAATGGTGTTGATTTTCCACTATGAAGAATCACTGGTTCTCGTTATACTCAGAACAAAAGAAAAATCCTATCACCAAGTTTCAGCAAAAGGTCAAGCTTTCTAAAACTTCCTATTGTATTAATTATTTTAATTAATTGTGGTTTATTTATTATTCATATTTGCTTAAGCCCGAGCTATTGAAATTTGCCAGTTGGCCAGAAATGTCTGTGACTCTATGGTACTCTTTCCACTTCCAGATCTTCCAGATGTCACTCATATCCATGGGGGACCAAGAATTACCCAACCAAAAGATAGGAGCGCTGCACTGGAGCAGAGGGCCTTTCCCAGTCAAGTTCAAGTTCTAGGCTTCAGCCGAAACTGCAAGATGCCCAGGACTAGCTGCTGCTAGAGTGGTACAGGAAATACCAAGTCCCAGAGCTGCAGGAATGTGTGGCAACCACAGTGCTGGGTCTCTGTCCCCTGTGTGCATTACATGCACAATGGTGGGCTAGTGGGTGCTTCTGTGAGAAAACACTGCAAAATGGCTCCCAGGGTAGGCGTGGGAGTAGCACAGAACTTTCCTCAAGGTTAATCATAAAAACAACTTCTATTTTTCAAAGGAACATTTTATACTCATGATTGCTGAAACTATGCTTAAAAGTATCTAGCCTTCCTTCTACACAAAAGTTTTAGATAAAACAATTACAGGACCCAGTGAAAAATATTATGTATTCCATTGTGTTCCCCATTTTTAATCTTAAAAGAAATTTAGAATATGATAGTTTGTAAATGAAATGATTGATTCTCTGTGATCCACTTGGGTGCTAGAGGTTCTGAGACGTGACACAGTGCAGACAGTATTTATAACCTTGCACACATCTGGGAACAGCTGTCATTGTTAACACCTGGGAGCAGCTGTCAGATACTCTGATTGCAGCTAGACTAGTAGAGTCTACTGGTGTAGAACGTGTGTGCGCGCGCGCGCGCGCGCATATGTCCAGGGGAAGAGGAGGGACTGATTGGGTGACACTTTGCTGCTAATCAAGCTTGCAATGTTTCTAGAACACTTTGAAGAAGTCACAGACCATGAAAGCGATAACAGCCCTTATTCTAGATCTTACCAAATTGCTTATGTGTAAGATATTTGTTTGTTGTTTTGGGAATCTTCCCAGAGTTATAAAATAAAATATAAATTCCTTCTTTACCCATTGATATGGCCCAAAGAAAGAGAAATCAGAATGCCAAATAGCATCCCACCTCTATTGAGATAGGATTTGCTAGGCCACTGAGTTCAAATTCCTCCTCTTCAACTGGCTTCTGATCACTCTAGTATGGCGTCAACCCAAACTCTATGTGTCCCCACTTCAAAGACAGTTCATTGTATGTAATTAGCTAGCTGGAAGATGAGATTACACTTTTAACTTCCCATTGATTTGTGTTATCTTTAACTGCGTTGATGTATTTTAGCATGATTGAATAGTGAATATATTGGCAGTCATTGAGACACAACTTTCCTGGATAGTATGCAAATCACTTAATGTGAATTCATCCTAATTTTTAGAATTAGTATGTTTAACATTTAAATTATATCCCAATTCCCTTTGATCACAGACTAATGCCTTTCCAGGTTACTAATGGATATTTTCTTTCTTTAAGCCAAGATAACATTTAAAATATACTAATTTTAAATATTAAATACAGTGATGAAAAATTTCAGTTTCAGCTCTCAAAACAGTTCCATCCATATATGAATTTTACATACAGAATCCAAACACTATTATTGATTCACTGAAGCAAAGTTTTATTTCTGTTTGCACAGTCATTTGTAGGTCACCTGACATGTGGCAAGAGGCATAGGCCTGGAGGGGCATGGACTTGAGTCACAACAGAAGCCTTACATAGAATGTTTTATGCTGTGGGGTAAATGCTCAAACAATCATATTCTTTCTCAAATGGTAATATATAGTAAATAAAAAGAATGGCATCCATTGCCTTGGTAAAGAAATCAATATTTAATTGAGGTATTTTTTTTTAAAATGAGTGCAGTCTACTGATGGAAAAGGACAAGATATACGGTTTCTCCATATCTCTTTTAGGCCACAGGAATGGCACTTATCACAGAACAAGCCAGGAAAATTAGCAAAAAGATGCCAACACATCCCCCTGGAACAGCTGCCCAGGCCCAGCTGTGCAGTAGCTGGGTGGATTTGCTAAGGTGCAGGCTGTGTGTGTTCCCCTTGAGTTGCTCCTGAGTCTCTGCAGTCATTGACCCTCATCCTCCAGGTATAAGGAGGCCCTGGAATGCAGCCTCTCCCCAGCAGTGAAGTTAGCCTTTCCAAAGTGCTCTGTGACCTTCAGAGAAGAACAAGACGTCATTTAGTCTTGATCAGCTGAATTGTCTTTAGTGCAAAGAAGTGGTTCCTCGAGATTAACGGGCCTCATCATCTATTCTTGATCGCATTTATGTGTTTTCCTTTTGTCTTGTATAATTTTTAATGATTTGTTGTATAATGAAATCCTGTGAAATGTTAAATCTATCTCCTTCCCAGTGACCGACTATTGTATGGGGTAGAATTTGAATTAATCTCTTCATATAACTTTCGATGCACAAATGCTTCGGCTAATTATGTTTTGACCCAGAAGCTCTTTCTGTTTATCTGTACTTGAAACTTCCATTCACTCCTTAAAAGCAAAACGTCCTGTTCTCAGGAAACTGGCAACGGCAAGTATTTGTCTTTGTCTTGTGGCAGATATGCAGTCCCTAAGGGAGCACCTCAGGAGGAGAGAGGGACAGACAGACAGACAGACACAGCTGGAGGAGGAATTTCAGAAACCTGGAGAAGTGCTGTTGGCTTTCACGTGGACATATGTGTGGCACACTAACGTAGAACACCGGTGGGTTCTGTTCTCAGCAGCACCTGTGTTCTCGAGGCCACATTCATGCATGAACTTGCGTGCACATGCACATACACTGAGGGGGCATTGTTAAGAAGTTTATACAAGTTAAGGTCTTCCTATATAAGTGCCGCCTGGAGCTCATTAAATGCAATGAATTTGAACACTCGGGGACAAATAGGGAACTGGATGACTATGTCCAGTTTCTTTGATACCACCACTAATTTTAAACTTAACTTTAAGATTTGTGAAGGCAATACTATTGGCTAGTCAATTCTATCAGTATTAATATGTACAGAACATAAACATTTCCCCTTTTTACTTCCCTCTTTTTGTTTGGAATTACATAAAATGAGCGTGCTAGTTTCTTGTGAAATACCCACATTTTCTGCCCATCTGAAGGTAGAACAATTGTTTTAGGCAACTTTGACTATTCACCTCTTACTTTTTGAAAATGCTGGTTTTCATGAGTACCCAGACCACCTGCTGGGCAGTGCAAGGTCACCTGGGTGGGGCAGCTTCTCAGCACCCAGAGCATGCAGCAGTGAGTAGAAGCGAGCGGCTAGCACACTCTGACCTTAACCCTGTGTGAAATTCTGTCTGAACATCAAATCTTTATGTTCAGGCCCTGGATGGGATATGTATGCATTTGCTGTCTTTTGGATTGTGTTAATGCTCCTTTGGTATAAAGTGACAGCTTTGGATAAATTGTTTTTAAAATTAAAATGTGCTGCTAGCACATGCCACTGTGAGATGCCGTTTTCTATGTGGATAGTAAGTCACATGTATCTCAAGGAAGCAACTTCATGGTGAAAATGTGCATGTTGTAAATGTAATATGCATGTTACATGTTTACATGACTGTTTACATCCTGTTACATCTGTGCAGCATTTGGCTGACTATATTGAGATGATTAAGCTCAGTTCATACTGTAAAAGTGGCTCACCTTAGTTGAGAGTGTGCTGTTATTTTTCTGAAAGCAAGATGTTCCCCTTTCCTCCCATTTTGTCCCATGAAGGCAGCTCTGCTCTATGTCTGGCTACTGTGGTCAGAAATAAGAAAAGCACACACGAGCAATGTGGCTGCTGCATGAGCTATTGAAGGACGCTTATGTTTCCCCTAAACAAGATGTTTCATCATTGTGGAAAGTCATGCCTTGTTGCCATTTTGATGATGACAGGCAAGATAGCTGCTTGGAATCTGTATGGTGAGATCACTAGTGAATAGTACTAAGTATTGGAAACATGTCAAGAAAGAACTGTCCCACAACACAAAGAGAAGTTTATACCAGAAATAAAAATCCAGAGGCAATGCCTGTGGACTGGTCACTGCTTAAGCATCCAGTGAAGGCCCCTAACAGAATCTCTTATCCCACAGTTTAGCTCTGCACTCCAAGAACCACTGGAGCCAAGGTTCTAAGAAAGAATATGAGACACTAAGTGAGTTTTAGCTAAATTCCCTGTCATGTTTATCTCACACTTTAGTGGATCTGAGCAGAAATATCACTGTTAGGGGAGCCTCATATTGTGACAGGACACGGTGTTTGTGAGAACCCAGAAGTCCTGCCTTGTAACGATGACAGATCATCCAAGGAAGTTAGTCAATTCCCAAACACAGTCCTGCTTCCAGTAGTTGGAGGACCAACATTCCCAGGGTAGGGCATCAACCTCACTGAGGAGCAGTCGACAGAGTGAAGCCTCTAGGTAGATCCAGAGGCCCAAGTGATCCCTGCTGCTGGCTCTCCTGGAACTAGCCGCTGTGCATGGTCACAGCAAGCTGGCCTCCCAGACATCAGCAGAGGCCCCTTTAAAGTCCCAGGACATGCTGGGGACTGCATAGGGCAGGTCCCTGTGAGGCACAGAGGCATTGCACTCCAGGTAGGTCTGCTGCTGCTGCTGCTGCCGCCGCCGCTGCGGCCGCCGACGCCGACAGTTTTTAGTACTGGGGACTGAGCCCAGAGCCGGCACATACTAAACAAGCATTTTGTTGCTGAGCAAGAAACAAACCCCAAAGCAGAAATTTTATCTGCCTGTGAGTGAATATGACTGTGCCCCTGGGGCCTAGTTTTCTTCCCCCTCTTCCAGCTCAGGCTCATTTTATCTGACAATAGAACCATTTGTGAAGGATTTGAGTGTACATGCAGAGACACGTGAACATGGCTACTCAGTCCGATTTGGAAAGGGACACTGCAGGTATTTTCATGAGTTGCCGGCAGCTGCTTGGTGGCTAGCTGTGGAAAGATCCCTCCTTTTTATTCTTCCAAATGGGAAACAGAAATCCATAGAAGAAAAACCTTTTCAGTATTTTTGCTTGCTGACATTTAGTGGCTAAAATCTGAATTGTAAGGCCTGCTGAGTTCTGTTGTTCCCAGTGGTGATTCAGTGGCCATCAGAGAGTGCTGCTGTCCTCCGAGTAGAGCCTCTGCCCTCCTGCAGCACAGAGCTCTTTCCTGGATGGCCCTGGGCCCAAGGCGTGGCCCTTATTCTCCTTAGTCTCTGAGACGGGACTGTGTTTTGTCCTAGCGCCTTCCACCTCGGTCACCCCAGCCTTGCAAGCCCCCAGTGTCCTCATTTCAAGTAACAAGACTGTGACTCTCCTGGAGGGGGCCTGCATTTTAGGGGAGTGCCAGTGCTTCCACTGTTGTGGAAGGCAACGAGGGTGCCTGTTGGCTGTCCCCCAAAGCTCTCTACGGACACTGTGAGTCTCTAATGCAACCACACAGTCATAGGCCGAAAAAAGGGAAAGAGATGCTTCTATCAAAGATTCACATGAAAGATGAAAGCAAATGTTATTTTTTTTTGCTATTGTGTAAATGTGCTCTGTAAAATACTAAAGAAAATAAAAATGTATTTTCAAGTTATTGGCAAATAATTTTGCTTTTGTCAAGGTTAAGTGTCATTTCTATTTTTATTAACTTCTCCATTCTTTCCTTTTGTGTTTTTAAGTCTCCCTCTTCCTCCACCCCCACCCCCCACCCCCGCCTGCCTCCTGTTTTTTTCTCTCTCTTTCCAGTTAGCTCCAGCTGGCTTGGATCTTGCAGTGTATCCCAAGCCGACCTCAAACTACCAACTTCAGCCTTCCCATTGATGGGATTAGAGATGTGCATTACTGCATCAATTCTACCCAAGCTGCCATGTGTATTTGTGTCTCTGGGCTGTAATTGGTGGATTCTCACAGTAGTTACCCATTGATACAAATGTTGCATGAAGGCTGGCAGGTAAGCTAGCTCTTGCCACCCACCTGGACCCCAAAGAACGCAGAGTAGAGGGAGAGAAGGACCTACCTCTCTCACATTCCTTCTCCTCTGGTGTCTCCGGTAGTATTTATCCAGCAAACAGATGTGGTTTATGACAACAGCAAGAAGTAAAGAGAACATTCAGGACTTCTTTGTCAAGCTCCAGAGTATGTCAGGCTCTTCCCGTTCCCCCTGGGCCAAGCAGATCTCATGATCAAAATCAGCATGGGTGTGTAAAGATGGGTCAGGCGCTGATTGCTCTGTAACATTGCTATGAACCAAGCGCTTTGAAGCAACGCTGCTCCATTTCTGTCAGAACTCTAAGCACAGCTTAGCTAATCTGCCAAGTGCCACTGCAGGAATCAAATGCTGACTGGAGTCAGGACTCCACCTGCCAAATGCATGCCATCATTGTCACTTTCTGTACTTTGGTGACTGAGTGCCTCAGCATCTAAGTACTGTCTACAGCTCCTGCCATGAGGCTCAGTCCATAGACAGTTCACACCAAGGTGGCTGATTTTCTCTGCAGCGGGCCGAGACAAATTTACCGACAAACTAAGACTATGGATCACACTGCACTGTTGCCATTGTGATCAGGGATGATGATCAAGGGGAGGAGACTGAGGTAGTCTGCAGGGCGAGCTTAGCAACCCAGGACCTTTACCTGGTGAGGTAAATATATGCCCTGCTCCAAACAAAGCCATCCATCAGCCATCCATCTAGCAACTTACCCTTGTAATCAGATGCATCTTTGAATATATTCTGAATCTAGGTGCAATGTGCCTATCCAGCCTGGACTGGTGGAGGTGCATGTGTGGTAAGACAAACTGTCTTCAAAGTGAACTTTCAGAGCGAATCCCATACTTGCCATCTCATGCCTATGCATGATTGGAGAAAACATGCTTAGTGAAAACAAAGAAGCGCCTACACCTTGGCCCCAACAACCTCCTCCTCCTGGACACACAAAAGGAAGCCCTGAGAAGTAGTCTCTAGTTCTTGAGTAATCTCCTTAGAGTACACTGCTCCCTTGTAAGTATACCCACCCTGTACATTCACTTGTTTGCTCGCTTCTCAAATTTCTGCTGCTTAGCTATTTGTGTACATTTCTTCAACTAAAACACCCCACCCAAACTGGGAACACCTGGTCCAGACAACCACCAGTAACAGAGACTGTGCATGGGCACAGATCAGTGATATTACACTGGAGTGTTTCTGTCTCAGAGTGCAATACCAAAGACTACAGGTGGCAAGGGATAGACTTCCATCCCCAGCATAACGCTCACACATATACAAAGTCACCTAAAGCCCAGAATCCCCTAAACATATTTGTGCTATGAAAGTGAACATAGGCCGGGCGTTGGTGGCGCACGCCTTTAATCCCAGCACTCGGGAGGCAGAGCCAGGCGGATCTCTGTGAGTTCGAGGCCAGCCTGGGCT